AAAAAAAAAAAAGAAAAGAAAAAAAAATATCTGGATGACTCACTTGATTCTTCAGGTCCTATCCAGTTGCTTTGGAAACAGAATTCAATAAAACCTTCCCCATTTCCTTTTTCTTAAGATTACATTTAAATGGTGGAGAATACACAGATCTCTTTTAATTAGGTAATGTGGTGACATTCTATCGGTATCATTCAGAGTTCTCTTCAGCATTAGTGTTTTATAACACTATTTAAAATTTATAACTGCCAGTTACAAATGAACTATCCTGTGTGTGTGTGTGTGTGTGTGTGTGTGTGTGTGTGTGTTTTAAATATGAACTTGCTAATTTTAGAAAAATAATGTTTTTAGGATTATAGGGGAAAACAAGAGAATGAATGCCAGCCTGACTGTATTTTTATGTTTTTGAGACAGGGTCTCGCTGTGTCACCAAGGGTGGTCTCAAACTCCTGGGCTCAAGCAATCCTCCCGCCTTGGTCTCCCAAAGTGCTGGGATTACAGGCATGAGCCACCGAGCCTTGCCTAGAGAGCTTAACTCTAAAACAATCTCGAGAGACAAAGTTCTACACTCTATACTCCAGAGTCAACTACGTGTGTGAGAAGTCACCTTACCCATTGGGGTCAGTGTTCACCTGCTCACAGAAATTCTGGATAGCTGACCAATCCTGTTCCGACATGCTTGGGTCTGTGGCTTTGTCTGTCAAATAAATAATAAAGTTAGAGAATGTATAAGAAGAAGAAATTTACATCCCTCCCCATACACATGGCAGCCAAGGGCTGTCTCATCACAGCTCTACAGGATCAGACCAGTGGACAGACAGCCAAAAGGAGAGGAATTGTGCCTGCACTGCCCACCACCATCCAGCATAGCGCTGGGCACATGGTATGCCCTTACCGAATATTTGCCGACTGAACGAACAAGCAAATTAACTAGCAAGCTGGCTGGGCACAATGGCTCATGCCTGTAATCCCAGCATTTTGGGAAGCTGAGGTGGGCAGATCATCTGAGGTCAGGAGTTTGAGACCAGCCTAACCAACATGATGAAACCCTGGCTCTACTAAAAACACACAAAAATTAGCTGGGTGTGGTGGTGCATGCCTGTAATCCCAGCTACTTGGGAGGCTGAGGCAGGAGAATCGCTTAACTTGGGAGGTGGAGGTTGCAGTGAGCTGAGATTGGGCCACTGCACTCCAGCCTGGGCGACAGAGGGAGGCTGTCTCAAAAAAAAATGAACAAGCTATTCCCCTGAAAGCAGCTCCATTTCTGGTGCAGAGGTTGGCCTGGGTATTGTCTGAGTCGGGATGCCCCCACCTGGCCTGCAACAAGCAGAGACAGAAGCCAGCATTGGAAAGGCCACCTGGAAGTGTCTCAGCAGTGTGACAGGAAGACAAGAACACACCACCAGAAGGAATACCATCCTGCCTGTTCATAAAACTTCCAGTGGCAGCCACGGTGGCTCATGCCTGTAATCCCAGCACTTTGGGAGGCC